TGCTGAAGAAAGCTCCTGTGCCAAAAGGGTATCTTAAAAATTTTTATTTTGTAAAACTTAATTAGTTTGTCCATTAAAATGTATTATCTGGCCTATATATCTGCCCTTGTAATTTTTGAAAAATACTTGGAGCTGAACAAGTTTTACTCTTAAGGAAGACGGTTGCAAAAGTCTTAGGGAGCATTTTTGAAAACTCCATTCAGCATGTTTTCTTACCTTTCTTCATTCTTATTACTTTGCTGTCCTGTAAAACACTGTCTTTGAGAAACGTGGTTCTTACTTACAACACTCCTGATCTTTTTGTTACAATGGGAGCTGAAACATAAAGTTGTTTGAAACACTGTCTTTGAGAAACGTGGCGCTTACTTACAATACTCCTGATCTTTTCGTTACAATGGGAGCTGAAACATAAAGTTGTTTACAGAAGTCGGTATTCAATGCGAGAGAAATGACTTGTAGAGCAAAGGATTTTGAAGTTGGACTGGCGAGACAGTGCTACCTTTTTTACAGACAAGTGAGCCAGTTTGGTCATTTTCCCAGTTTGGATTACAGAAACACCCTGTTACTCATGAAAAGTACACATCTGATTATAATAGTTAAATGAGTTCATGAGATCAATAATCTGAAAAACTTGTTTATTACATACAGGTATTTCCACTTTTTTCTGAAACGTGTTTTTTTAAGGGCGTTTCTTATTGTACATTTCTACATATTTTTTTTTAGGCAGAGATTCACTCCCTGTTTTAAAAAAAAATTCCTGTTAAAGACATGGATCTAAATTATACTTCTAAATCTTATTAAAGCGTTTGTTAACCTTAGCAAACATGTGGCTTTGAAAATTGTATAAACTCAGTTTTTAATGAGAACCTACCTTTCTGTGTCCACGTGCAACTCTTGTCCAGTAACGGAGATTTTACAGCAATAATACATAATTCACAAGCTTCTGTAAATTGATTTTTCTGGCTTGCAATGATGGATTTTGACCTGATGTTTGCTTTATTCACAGAGCGTGTATTACTGTACCACATTTATCTAAATGAAAGCTGTATTTAAAAGATACTGTTCTGCCAGAGACTAAATGGAATGCATCTTAATGATTGGGGAAACTAATGACAGACTGCCCTATTCTCTATTCCAGTGTTTATGCATTCAGTGTTACTGGATCGTATACTGATAGAAACCTTTAAAATATCAAACACCTTCTGGCTTCATCCCTAAGTCTGACAAGGGACTGGTAAAGCACAAGTCAGGGCACAAAGTTTGGAGAGCTACAGAAAATCATTCTGATTTTGAGAATCAGTTTTCAACAATCATAGGATCATTGAATGGTTAGAGTTGGAAGGGACCTCATCTCATCTAGTTCCAACCCCCCTGCTATGGGCAGGGAAACCCTCCACTACACCAGGTTGCCCAAAGCCTCATCCAGCCTGGCCTTGAACACTTCCAGGGATGGGGCATCTACAACTTTTCTGGGCAACCTGTTCCACTGCCTCACCGCCGTCTGAGTGAAAAATTTCTTCCTTATATTCAATCTAAACCTGCCCTCTTTCAGTTTAAATCCATTGCCCTTTGTCCTATCACTACACGCCCTTGTAAAAAGTCCCTCTCCAGCTTTCCTGTAGGCCCCCTTTAGGTACTGGAAGGCTGCTGTGAGATCACCCTGGAGCCTTCTCTTCATTTACTCAAATTATACAGAAAATATCATGCCCTCCTATATTCAGCTGTCTTTGTCCCTAATACTTCTAACAAATTAGACAAACAAGTAAACAATCCCCCAAACAACCAGCAAAACCCTACGTTAATAAAGTTTTGATAAGATTATGCCAAGCATCACAAAATTAAGGTATGCCCAAACAGAAATTCCTCTTGAAATACGGAGCATTACCTTGCATGCTCACTAAAATAGATATTTTTAAGGACCAAATTCCTTATTACCTCCAAGAAGTTCTGTGATTCCTCGAACAGGACTAAGAGAATAGGCAGGTGTACAATAGGCTTTTTTTGTCTTCATTCAGTGTGTGCTTTCCTTTGTTGTTTATTGTCTTCTCTTCAGCTCAGAAGACGGAACTGTCGATTTCCTTATTAACACTTACTATTTGAATATGTAAGTGCTTCATAGATATTAATTATCTTACAAGCTCAGCTATGAAGTGAGGAGTGTCATCTTCGTCATTTAGCACATTAATAGCTGAAGTACAGAAAAATTAAGGTGAATGTAACCATTTATATATGTCCTAATTTTTGGAGTCCACCAAGGAAGGGATCTTGTGGATCTTCCTTACGTTAACTATCAGCTAGATCTACTGTGCACTGTACAAAATAATTATTCATCTAAGATATTATTTTGGAATAGCTGATATCTGGGTATGCACTTAGGTATTGCTATATTTTTATGCAAAGGGCAGACTTAAATTTTGTCTTTTTAAATTTTTTGATGACTGTATTTTGTAGTAATGCTGCTTACAACACGGCAGTTTGGTTTTTTTTTTTTTCCCCCACTATGGGCATTTATTATAGGACTTTATATGAATTTATTCAGATGGCAACTATGTAGTTACTGCTACTGAATATTTTTTTCTCTGTAACACAGTATCTTTTTCTATTAGGATGCAGAAAAATTTCTTATTTTCATAAGATCTCTAGTAATGGGTAACATTTTCTCTGTTCATTTATGACTACATTATTCAAGATACTTAATTATATTGAAAATTACCTATGAAGAGGTGTGAAAGTTCCTCTGAAAATGTTGAGAATAACCGAATAATAGTCCTTAACATTGGCCATCACTGAATGAACGGATTGTCCATAAACTGACAAGACAAAAAAAAAAAAAAAAAAGTTGTCTGTTGTGTTAACTAATAGATATTGTTTACTTTTAAGCTTGATGCTTTGAAATATTTTACCAATAGGTACAACGCTACAAACCAAGTTTTAATTTATTTCTTTTCAAAACCGCCTTGAGAGCTCTTATGTTCTTTCCTGCTTCCAAAGTTTTGTTGACCAGAAGTAGGCTGTGCTGTGAGTGGCAGCTATGGTTAGGAAGGAAAACAGGAACTCACTTCCCAGTGGGTAATACAGGAAAAGTAAAGGGAGATTTTTAAATTCTTAGAAGTTTAAGAAATTGAAGGAGTCCCTTTCTATTGTAGGAAGCAAGTTATTTCAGTGTTCATATTTACAGGAAAATGACTTGTTGCTTGTAATCTTATGTTAGTAATTGAGTAATTAGTGATGCAAAATGGATTACTTTCTGGCCAACCAGCAACTGTTTCATGATTTCATCATATCTGCTGTGGATGAAGCGGTCTCAATGCTACTGTTTCGATATTCTTGTGAAACTTTTTAAATCAACTGTTCATTTGGCCACTATCAGAGAAACGTTTAAACCAAGCTTCAGTGTAGCCTAGATGCTCAGAGGACTTCACTGCCTGATGTTTTCCTTCAGAATAGAATATGTGTAGCATATGGTATATATATATATAAAATACAATAATTTTCTTTTTCTTCTTCTTTCCCTTAGGCATTTCCTGGAAATACAAACTCTGATAGTGTGGTCCGGCATGATTTACAACATCCAGTTATTGCTCGCTATGTACGGATAGTTCCTCTGGACTGGAACGGAGAGGGCCAAATTGGATTAAGAATTGAAGTCTATGGCTGCTCCTATTGTAAGTTTTTCCATGACCAAAAAGCTTCTCTTTTCTTCTTCTCTTGCCGCCCGCCCCCCAAAATAAAAACTGCCTTTGAATCTCAGATTAAATCTGAATCTCAAGTGCTTTTAGATAGATTGAGATGTTCCAGGATTGCTGGTTATATTGCCCAGGGCTTCATGAAATATTTATTGTAACCTTAACTCTGAGTTGCTAGTCTGTTCTTCTCTGGAAGGTGCAACACTGGAATTCGCGGTAGTGCTTTGAAGTTGCTTCTTTTGATCTTCATGGTTTCTTTTGCAGAAGACTTGAACTGTTATATAAACTCGAACGGGCTAGTTGAGGGAAAGAATATATTCAGACAAATGTCATGTTGGGTCTTGAGGGAAACAACTGGAAAACAAGACATAATTCATTGCTTGGTCTACAAATAAAATTAAAGCCAATAAATAAGAATTCTATTAGAGTAGCTTAAATTGTCTAAATTTGTGAGATTTTCCAGAGATTTTTCCTTTAGTCTTCTAATATGACTTTAGAAATTCTTTGGAAAAATGGATAAGCAGTGATGCAAATGCTTCTGAAATTAAAAGCAAAATTGATTATGTTTTAAGAAAAGTAAGGGTAGTTTCTAAATGCCCTTCCTTGAATTTAATCCATCCAGCATTTAAAGAAGGTCTGTAGACCTTCAGAAAATTAAGTGTTTGATGTTCTATTTCTGAGTACGTGTTTTTTTATGTGGTATCCTGGCTTTGTTAGTATTTTAACTGGAAAGAGCTTTTTGAGATTTGCCTTTGAATAATCGAGTGTTAGAATAAAGTAAGGAGCATACATCTGGAAGTCTCATCCATGAATCACTGGGTGACTTAAGACACATGGGAGCCCTTTGATATCCTAACTAGCAAAAAAAGAAAAACACTTTGTGATTTCAGTTGTTGTTTTGATTTGGGTAGATAATCAAAAGACTATATACTTTCATTTAGCACCAATAAGAGCCATGAATAATAGAGTTTTGGTATTATTTTTCCTATTTCCATGCAATTAATTGAAGATCTATTTTTAAAATTTATATTAAACCACAGAAAATTTCCCAGCAGCTGCAGTGACTTAGTTGAGAAATTAAATCAAACTGTCTGTAGTGTTGGTGCTGCTGTGCTGAGAGCAGAAATGGGTGCTAGATAAATTTGTAAAAAGACAACAGCATATCTGTTATTTGAGGAACTGTGGGTTATTCGAAAGATTCTTACTCAAAGAGAAATGCAGCTTCTGAAGTTTTAGGTAACACTGTGATTATTCAGTACATGGCTTTTCATAAACAAGTGTTTACTGTCATACTGTTAAAATGTTTTATGTACTGTTTTAAGTACACCAAACACTACAACATGACTAATTTTACAGTATGATAAATACTTACTTTAAGTGTAACTCTTCACTTGTACATCAAATGCAAATTCCAGTGTTTGATAGAAGAAACCAACATCTAGTGTACTGTGAAATATGGCTCTCTTTAACAGAAAAAATGTAGCAGAATTGAACAATAAACCCCATGATCTTTACTGCAATATTTACAGGTAAAAGTATTTTTTTTTTATGAAATGGATAGACAATATACTTTAGGTACATGACAGGATGCTTTTAGAGGCCTAAAGTAAATGTGTGAAAAAATAAAACAGCTTGTTGATGAAATGATTTCAGTTACTTGATGAAAAGTTGCTTGCTTGACAGACTTTTGGAGGAGAATAAAAAGCATCTGTCAAGGAAACAACATATGGAACTATGAAAATCCTGATAAAATGTGTGTTCACAGAAGAACCGAGGTGATCAAACCTAACTTTGTAATTTTACTGAGAGAATGTTGCTAGTCAGTTTGTGTTAGAAGTGATTTCTATAATTGCTGTGGGATTTTTTTCTTTATATAACATTAATAATAATATTTTACATTTTTGTGTGTATTGGGACTTTTCTTTCAAAACCTCTCCTAAAATGCAGTGTGGTTTTTACACACAGAAATTGGTCCATCTCCAAAATGCTGTCAGTAGCTAGCAGCAGAACTGTTGAGAAGGAAAACTAAAAGTTCACTTTTTAAAGAGAGAAGATGGCATCCCTTTGGTATAACTACTGGAACAAGGGAGTAATGTGTACAGATTCCCAAGTTGTCTTCAAATACATCATTTGGAGCCAGGTGTATAATGCTACATTGTTCCATGTAGACATGTCCTTTGGCAGAGGCAAAGTTTTTAGCCTTATGATTAGAAGTGCATATATTTGCATATAAATATAAGCACTGACATTAACCAGTGTGATTTGCAGATTAATCCTGCTGTCGTTGAAGGAACTGGCCATTTAAATATTAGTAATTTTCAAAGCCCGATTAAAAGACAGGCTTCTAGTCAAATCTGCCTCAGATTTTGGAAACATTACCTAAATAAAAAGGCTGCCCAATATATCACAATCATGATTTTTCTTTATAGATTCATATTGAGTATAGTCTCTTATTTAGGTATTTTAGAGAGCACGTTTCCAGACATAAAAATCTGGTGTTTTCTAACAGTGGTTTAATTTGGAAGCCATACTACAATTACTCTTTATTGCACATTAGTGCATTCTGGTAATTAGTCTCAGAGTATTGACAATAATGCTTCCTCATGTTGAACTGCTTATTCAAAAGTCAGGTCATTATTTGCTGTATTTTCTGGTTCCTATTTTGTTTGGCTATGCATATAAGATAGACATTTAAATTTTTTGTACCAGAGGTGAAATCCATATTCTTCTTTGCCCAGCAAATTAAAGTAAAAAAGAGATGTAATTTCCAGAGAGAGATTAGAGCTAACGTCTGTTCCCTAGAATCATAGAATTGGTTAGATTGGAAAAGACCTTTAGGATCATCAAGTCCAAACTGTTAACATAGCACTGCCAACTCTTTTGGTGAAGAATTTTTTCCTAAGATCCAGTCTAAACCTCCCCTGTCACAAGTTGAGACCATTTCTTCTTGTCCTATTGCTTATTACTTGGGACAAGAGACCAACACCCACTTCGTTACAGCCTCCTTTCAGGTAGTTACAGAGAGTGATAAGGTCTCCCCTCAAGTCTTCTTTTTCTCCAGGCTAAACAACTGTAGTTCCCTCAACTGCTCCTCATAAAACTTGTGCTCTGGACCCTTCAACAGCTTTGTTGTTGTTGTTTGGACATGCTCCAGCACCTCAATGGCTTTCTTGTAGTGAGGGGCCCAAAACTGAACACAGGATTTGAGGTGCGACCTCACCAGTGCCATACAGGGGGACAACCACTTCCTTAGTCCTGCTGCCACACTATTTCTGTTACAAACCAGGATGCTATTGGCCTTCTTGACCACCTGGGTATGCTGCTGCCTCATATTTATCTGCCTGTTGACCAATATCTCCAGGTCATTTTTTGTCGGGCAGCTTTCAAGCCACTCTTCCCCAAGCCTGTAGTGTTGCGTGGAGTTGTTGTGACCCAAGTGCAGGACCTAGAACTTAGCTTTTTTGAACCTCATACAACTGGCCTCGGCCCATCAATGCAGCCTGTCCAGATCCCTCTGTAGAGCCTTCCTACCCTCAAGCAGATCAACACTCCCACCCAACTTGGTGTCGTCTGCAAACTTCCTTAGGGTGCACTCGATCCTCTCATCCAGATCATTGATAAAGGTATTAAACAGAACTGGCCCCAGTGCTGAGCCCTGGGCAATGCCACTTGTGCCTGACAGTCAACTGGATTTAGCTCCATTCACCACAACTCTTTGGGCCCAGCCATCCAGCCAGATTTTTACCCAGTGAAGAGTACACCTGTTCAAGCCATGAGCATCGAGTTTCTCCAGCAGAGTGCTGTGGGAAACGGTGTCAAAGTCTTTACTAAAGTCCAAGTAGATGACATCCACAGCCTTTTCCTCATCCACTAAGCGAGTGGATGTATAACCTTGTTGTAGAAGGAGATCAGATCAGTCAAGCAGGACTTGCCTTTCATAAACCCATGCTGACTGGGCCTCATAATCTGATTGTCCTGTATATGCCAGGTGATGGCACTCAAGATGATCTACTCCATAACCTTCCCCGGCACCAAGGTCAGACTGACAGGCCTGTAGTTACCCATATCCTCCTTCCAGCCCATCTTGTAGATGAACATCACATTTGCTAACCTCCAGTCAACTGGGAACTCCCTGGTTAGCCAGGACTGCTGACAAATGATGGAAAGTGGCTTGGTGAGCACTTCTGCCAGCACCCTTGGGTGGATCTCATCTAGTCCCATAAACTTGTGAGGCTGTATCAGGTTGCAAAGCATTTCTGCCTGGATTATGGGGGATTCATTCTGCTCCCTATTCCTGTCTTCTAGCTCAGAGGGCTGAGTATCCTGAAAGCAACTGATCTTACTAGTAAAGACTGAGGCAAAGAAGGCATTACGTACCTCAGCCTTTTCCTTAACTGTTGGCACTATGTTTCCCCCCACATCCAATAAAGGATGGAGATTCTCCTTAGCCCTCCTTCTGTTGCTAATGTATCTATAGAAACATTTTTTACTGTCTTTTATGGCAGTAGCCACATTAAGTTCCAGTTGGGCTTTGACCCTTCCAGTTTTATCCCTACATAACCTCACAACATCCTTGTAGTCCTCCTGAGTTGCCTGCCCCTTCTTCCAAAGGTCATAAACGCTCCTTATTTTCTTGAGTTCCAGACAAAGATCTCTCTTCAGCCAGACTAGTCTTCACCCTCTCTGGTTCATCTTTTGGCACATGGGGACAACCTGCTCCTGCGCATTTAAGATTTCCATTTTGAATAATGTCCAGCCTTCCTGGACTCCTTTGCCCTTCAGGACTGCCTCCCAAGGGGCTCTGTCAACCAGGTGCCTAAGCTCCTTATTTTCTTGAGTTCCAGACAAAGATCTCTCTTCAGCCAGACTAGTCTTCACCCTCTCTGGTTCATCTTTTGGCACATGGGGACAACCTGCTCCTGCGCATTTAAGATTTCCATTTTGAATAATGTCCAGCCTTCCTGGACTCCTTTGCCCTT